CCCCCCCCCCCCCTCTCAATTAAGCCCCCTTCTCCATAATCCCTCCCTCAAACGTGCCTGAAATAAATAAACCCCCCGGGGGGCTAAATAGAGGATTTACGGTACACGTAAAGCTGTCCTTATGGCGAAAGGCCAAAAACCGTTTTTCTGCCCTGTCCACTGGTATTCAGTTGGGCTCTACGTCTCCTGCAGTTTTCAAGTAGTTTTTATTCGTAATCATTACCGGAAGGGTGTGTATAGATAATCCCACGATTAACACCTGGATAATATGGAATAAGTATTGTGTATACCATCAATCAACGAACTTAATGCGTCATGACATTGCTATGTGCATGTATGTATACTGCAGAAAGCATCGGCCATCTCTCACCTTGTACTCGGTTTCTTGTACTCGCATGGTTGTCTTGTGTCTTTAGCAGCTCAACTTGACACCTGAAGGTAAAGATTCTCTAGTTCCAAGATGGCGGATAGCAAGCGTAGTCCATGGCCGTCATCCAGTATGATAGTTACAATGATTTTCGTGCTGTTGTGTTTGGGGGAATTCATCAGAGTTGAGTTGCTCTTGAAGGACCATATGTCCAAAATACGAGAACTTGAATCTAAATTACAGGCCAACAGACATCATAACAATGAGGGCACGAAAAGCCAGCAGAAGCAGAACGGTGAGTCCTCTTTGGGTAACCTTAAAAATAGGAACAATAATAAGCTACTATGTTTTATGTTCCAGTTTATGTTCAAGCTTTTTGTGGTGGCATTCAAAGTTTATTTTACGTAACCCGAGTATCAGGCTACTCAGGTTACATTTCACGTTACGACATGTCTCATGTTGTCAAAAAAAACAAAAAAAAAAAAAACAAAATTTTTCACATATATTACAATTTCTAACCAGGAGTACACTGCGAAGGTTGACACTAGCCTTAAGTCGTATCAATCGATCGGAGCGGTCAATTCTCAAATGGTACGCATCGCCTTAGAACTGTACCAACACGGCCTGAACCAGTTTTAAGAACTGACGTATACCATTTGAGAACTGGCTGCTCCGAGCGATTGTTCGGCTTCATGGAAATTAGTGCTCTTGAAACATTATTAGCCTTTTCAACAATTTTTTTATTAAATTCATTAACCTACTCGCATGTTTCTTATAGTAAAATTAACAAAGCCAGAATCCTCTAGAGTCCGTGTTCGTCGTAACGCATCTGACTCTCAACTGACTGACTTGATAAAACTCCAACAATTACATGCCAGTGTCTGTAATATCACCATCACAGACATGAAATGTCGTGCAGGCCCTCCCGGACCACCTGGAAGGCCTGGTCGCAGAGGAGAAAGAGGACTGAAAGGGGACAAGGGGATTCCTGGTAAACTAGGTTACCGTGGCAATATGGGTCCTCCTGGTCCAAGGGGAGATAAAGGAGAGAGAGGAGAGAAAGGAGGTTTGGGAATTCCTGGTCTACATGGCAACAATGGTATCATGGGTCCACCAGGTCGAAGAGGACAGAAGGGAGAGAAAGGAGAGATTGGAAGGAAAGGAAAAAGAGGAGAAAAGGGGGAGCAGGGACCGAAAGGCACTTTGGTATCAAATGTAAATCCAGGCTTGACTGTATCATCACCTCACGTGATCGTTTTTCCTCCGACAATGGTCATAAATGAAAATCAGACGGCAATCTTTAACTGCTTAGTGCATGGTTATCCTGAGCCTGTGATTGGTTGGAGTAAGGTAGAGGAACGCAACAGTTCCCAGTTGAGTAATAACCGTAGGCTGGTGATTCCTAACGCCAGACCCAGTGACACAGGAACGTATCGATGTCAGGCTAAAAACGTTCTTGGTACTAAACAAAAAACAGTTTACCTCGCTGTTAATGGTAAGTATACTCACTCATACTACAGTTTAGACTGGGCGGTAGTTAACTTTATTTGCAAACAAGTAATAATTAATAGAAAAAAGTTGCAAAAGGTGCTGCCAGGGAAAAACTGAATCCTCATATTCGTATATTGTGTTGTATTTATTTATAATAACTTTATTTGCAAACAAATAATAATTAATAGAAAAAAGTTGCAAAAAGAACTGAATACTCATATACGGCATAACTGACTTGGTCTTGTTTTTTTTGTGCTATTTCAACTAATGCTCCAACCACATCTTTATTTAAATTTCAATTATTACTATAAAAATATCATCCTTCAACTTGCAGATTTTAAAGATTGTTCCGAGATCTATAAATCAGGAGAAAGACGAAGCGGTGTCTACGTAGTTAACCCAGACGGACGTGGTCGGCCTTTCCAAGTCTACTGTGACATGACAACAGACGGAGGGGGGTGGACTGTGTTCCAGAGAAGACAAGATGGATCCGTAGACTTTTATCGTGACTGGAATGAATACAAAACAGGGTTTGGAAACCTGCATGGCGAGTTTTGGCTGGGGAATGACAAGATTCACCGACTGACGTCACGAACAGCCTCGATGCTACGCGTTGACCTAGAGGACTGGAACGGTGTTAAGGTGTATGCCAAATATGGTAGTTTTAGTGTTGGTTCTGAAGGTTCAAATTACAGGTTGAGTGTGACGTCGTATTCTGGTTCGGCCGGTGACTCACTGGCACCCGATCATAATGGCATGTCGTTTACTACCATAGACCGTGATAATGACGAGTCTAGATTCACTAATTGTGCAAGTTCATACACTGGTGCCTGGTGGTACGAAAGTTGTTATAGTTCCAACTTGAACGGTCAATACCTTGGTAATGTTCTCAGCTTAAAAGGCGTTGTATGGTACGAATTTAAAAATGAATTTTTATCTCTTAAGTTTACCGAGATGAAGTTAAAACCAACTTAGTTCTCTTCAATCAATTAACGAGTAGGGTGTGAGTGAGTGTTTGTGATCATTCAATAAAATAGTAAACTGTATGATTTGTCTTGGTGTAGTGTTTAACACAACAATAATAATGGCGAACAACAAAAAGCAGGTAAAGAGAACTAGTGTATTGACAGCTTCAGTCATTAACAATCTTTTACATTCGATCCGCGTGTCAAATGTAATTAGCGCCCAAATCACCCAAAAACTTGAACAAATATGAAGGGGAGACATTCTCCTTGAGTTCCATTACAAAAGGGAACCTTAAGCCTGTCATCTCGTGGAGAAAAGTGAATGATACTCTACCATCAGGAGGGAGGTCAGAGGTCAGAGGAGAAACGCTGACCATCAGAAGTGCAAAGATAGAAGATTCTGGAGTGTATATATGTACTGCTACAACGATTGGTATATTTAAACAGGAAGCAGACTCGATTGCAAGTCATAGGTTTATCAAGTTTTTTACCGGGTTTCCCAGGTTTTCCAGATTTGCCATGAGGTTTAATCAGGCGAGAGGCGAGGGAGAACGCTGACCATCAGACGTACAGAGATCGAAGATTCTGGGGTGTATATCTGTACTACTACAAAGAGCGGTATGCAGCAACTCAATTACAAGTCATAACAAGCGGTTTACCGAGATGAAACTAAAACAAACTTAACTTTCGATATTTTTACATAGGAAAAAATTTTACATAATAGAACATCAGCCAGTCAGCGCAAAACAGTGCAAAAACCTATTTCTTGCTCATTTCTTGAAAGTTAGAAAATATTTCCTAAGAACTCGAAACCGAATTTGCGCACCGGAAGTATTTGGCACCGGAAGTCGATTTTCAGAGCCCTGACACATGAAAAACAACACTACACATGGTGATTTAATGATGAGAGGTTTATTTCAATCATAAATAATTTAGTAGTTGCACATGACATTAATGAAAGCGTGTTTCTTGGGATCTGCATCAGCGTTGCTGGCAAAGCGTAGATCTCTTCCGTTACGCTTTTCATCTTTTACTTTAAGTAGAAGGCCGTAGTTTGATTTTCTTCCACTTCTCCAGTCACGCACGGCGCGTGTCACGTCAAACTCAACGAATCCTCTTGGGCGGTACGCATAGATGAATGTCGAGCAGTACTGGGGCCTGGACTCAGCATCTTGATTGTTCAGGCCGAGGTAGGTCTGGGACCAGCTTTGTCCTATCAGGGGTCTGGAACTAGTGGCTTGTGACTCGGCCCAACGCCTCTTGACCGTGTGGACTTGTATCTTGTGAGAGAGGTATGGGGTTTGGGTGACGGAGTGCCAGCTTGCCTTGTGTGCGTACACAAAGTATACGTACATTTTTGCCCAGCGGATCTTGTTTGCGGGACAGTTCCCGTAGCTGAAGTTTTCAAATTGAATAAGCGAGCGCTTCAGCGGGAACTGTGGGTGACGACCGACCAAAAGATATTTCAAGAAGTTAAAGTTGGTTCCTGGTCTCTCCAGCGTGACATCTTGAACAACGTTAAGGCGAACAACGTTTCCATCGCCGCTGTTTGATATGGAGACGCCTTGCGTGACAGAGGAGCATAACGCAACTAAAAGCGTGACGGAAAGTGCAGTGAAGATAGCCATCCTAGAAGACAAAAGCGTGCGCAAATGAGAACAGTTCAAATGGGAAGTACTTACTTAGAATAATACCGTAACATATATATATATATATATGTATAATATATATATATAATACAGAATCATACAGCTAGGGGGAACTATTTTTCTTAGCGCTTTCAAAAGAATAATCGTTGGTTCTTCTGGCTTTCAGCTTATCTTGGAGAGTTAGCTTACTCTTTTATGAGTTATCCTCTAATGAAACACTTCAAAATATCATTAAAATGTCTCTCGAACTGTCAACTCTTCTTGTCAATAAATATAATGGAAATCATAATTTTAGTTAATTCGCTATCCCTAAATACTAGCTTCAATGAAACATCGTTAACAAAAAAGTACATTCTTTTCGTATAGCTTTAGATTAAATATATAGCAATACATATAGTATTTGTTATTTTAAACTAAAGTAAACAAAAATCTATATTGGGTTAAATCATGTTATTTTAAGCCCAAATATTTGTGAAAAATCAATTTCTGTTCATACCTCAGGAGTTTGTTTCTCTGGTAGCGTCTCTGCGTGAAAATGGTTTCTCTGTAAAGCTCTTCAGAAAATAGTTCCTCTTTGCAGCTCTGCGGAAAATGATTTAAGCTTCGTGGCTGGAGACTCGTCTATATATGCAAACCACCCGAGGAAAAACTATCTCAGTGTTTACAACCTGTTTATTCACGTTTAAGTACCGAAAATTTTAGTTTGTTTGTCAAGACACGGAACACAATTTTCGTCAAAAAAAAAAAAWTTTTTTTGAAACCATGCTATATCAAATATAAAAGTAAAATCTTTAATCTTATGTAAAAATTAAGTTAATTTTTTTTTTAATTAAGGGAGATATTCGTAAAAAAGCATTTTTAGAAGTTACCAGTAGGTGTTGTGTTGTTGACAGGAACTGTTATTTATCTATTCACCGGAAGTCGATTGATCCAAGTAAGTTTGACGTCACGAGCATTGTCGAGCCGTAGCAGTGAAAACATATCGAGCTGTAAACGAGGACGCGACTAAGTGAACGATCGAACAAATTATATCATATTTACAGAGTTTAGCTATTTATCAAGATTTCTTCAGTTTTGTTTTTAATTCTTTCGTGGGATATCAGCGTTGGTAGATGCCTCGTAAGCAAAAGAGAAATCCTTTCTGTGGTGGTTCTAACAAAAGGAAAAGAAGACGTAGCTCCACAGCATTCTGTCATGAGAATGCAAAATCGCTCTCTTTGAGCGACAAAGGCTCTTACTAATAAGAGAGAAGAGCTTCTTAAGCGAAGTGATAGTGCCAGTGCTAGTGCCAAGAAGCTTCTAGGCCGAAGCGAAGACGAAGAATTGAACCAGGCATCGAAAGAAGAAGAGGGAGAAGAAGAACGACAAAACATCCTGTTGTTCTCTGGTTTGCTCAGCATTTCGCCCTCGGCCTCTTCCTCGGCCCCTTCCTCGGCCCCCCTCAGTTGAACTAGATGTTCGACCTCTGGTTTTGACCATCATGAACTCGAAACGAACTTCAAGATTTAGGTAAACATTGCGACGCGAAGGTCAATAAGCTTGAGACCGGAAGTACAGTATACCCGCTGTCCTGGCCATGGTCCGGTATTATATTACTTACTTTACGCTCATTGGCGTACTGTGCAGAAACTTGTCAACATTGAGTAAATAAACTTATAATCCCATTAAACTAAACTTGTGTTTTTCTCAAAAGTAGTTTTTGGTAAAATACACATTTTCAGAAGGTTTATTCTCCCTCGGTTTTCGATCAATTACCGTGAAACTTGGCATGTGGATTCCTACTATGCTCGAGTTTAAAAGTGTGTCTGCGTTTTTTCATTTTCCTTTTCTTTTCTCAGATATTTGCCATTTTCTCAAGAATGCCCTTAAAAACATGTAGTTATGACTTTGGAATTGAATAAAAGATTAAAGAAGCGCTAAAAGAAAAAACGCAGACACACTTTGGTAGAACAACATACGTGTAATAAGATGCAAAAAAAAATTGATCCGTTTACGCTAACCAGAGGGAGAACAAACATCTCGCGTCGAACCATAGCGTTTGCAATCAATGCCCGATTTATCCAAAATGAATTATTTTTGTCCAAAAGTAAAATCGAATATGGAATATTTGAACTTTAAGCTGTTAGAAAATGTATACTTTATGGGGAAATTTATATAAACTAAACGCGATATGAGCGTCCAAGAAACCCGACCCGATTGTGTTCCGTGTATCCTTAAGCTAAAGATTTCAAGGTTTATCCCCGACTACTCAGTCATGACCATAATTTTGATTTTGGATATCTAAGTTTCGTGACTTAAGGATGGTGCTTTAAATTTACGACTGAAAAAGCAGTTAAAGTGCATGCGACTATACTTTTGGAGCTCGACGAGTTCCTGTCTTTGCGTAATCTGGCAACAAGTTTTAATGTCCTTTCTCGGTACGACAAGTAACAATATTTGTTTGAAAGTTTTCTTTTTTTTATTCATAGCCTATTTTTCTTTCATTAATTCATTCTTTTCTTTCTCTGCTTCTCTGTTGTTTTTTTTTCTTCTAACTTTTTGCTTTTTTTCTTTCTTTCCTTCCCTTCTCGCCCTTTTCAGTCTTTTTAAAATAATTTCATTGCATTGACTTTGATTTGTTTAAAAACGAAAAACTGCGAATATAATTAAACTTTCTTCCTCAAACAAAACGACGAACGTGATCGATTGTTACGAATATCAAGTATTTACGAGGAGCTAAAGTGATTGATCAAACTACTTAAGAAATTCACGTTCTAACGTAAAATATTTCTCTTGATAAAAGTCTAGGGTACATGAGATGTGTTGTCGGATACTCAGCAACTCAGGATTTGTAAATAAACCGATTCAAGTTGAAAATAAAACCACCATAAAACCACAAGAACTGAAGTGGGTCCTGAGAACAGACAGTTTGTTTTAATCTTGAAGATTATTTCAACACTCTAGAAACCTTCCCGATCTTGAAACAGCAGAAATTCAAACGTTGAGTTTTCATCAATTATGCAACTGACTCTGAAGTAAGTGTTTGCGCTAAAAAAAAATTCAGAGCATGGCTAACTCACAGATCAAACCCTGAAACAACCTCTGGACTGATCTAAGTCAGGGCATGGCTAACTCACAGATAGAACCCTGAAACAACTTCTGCGCTGATCTAAGTCAGGGTGTAATATTCTAATAATCATCTTATTTATGCAACCGATTCAATGCCCGTTTGTGTGCGGGTGTTTTGATCGCGTTGTAGTCAAAATTTAGCGTTGGATTTAAAAAATGTTCTAATGTTGCAATTTTAATGAACTTTTTTAAATATCAGTCTACCAGTTAGTCTCCCCCACCGCCGCTTTCAGTGTCGTCACGCAACGCTTTCTCCCCTGACTAGTCAGGGGAGAAAGCGTTGCGTGACGACACTGAAAGCGGCTGTGGGGGAGACTATCTACCAGTTGGAGCCGAATGAAAATCTGATGGTACGTAGGTGATATGGTCGGGGGGGGGGGGGGCCCCCCCCCACCCTCCCTCCGGGATGACCTACATAAACCCTAATCCCAAGATGGAGAATCAACNATCTACCAGTTGGAGCCGAATGAAAATCTGATGGTGGGGGGGGGGGGGGGGGGGGGGGGGGGGGGGGGGGGGGGACTTCCCCCACCCTCCCTCCGGCAGGACGTACATAAACCCTAATCCCAAGATGGAGAATCAACAATCAGTTCTTCAAATATTTTATATACGTTGGTCAACGAGGAACGAAAGTACTAAGCATCTAGTGAGGATAAACTAAATCGCATAACGAAATATTCTATATAATATTCAATATGAATCGTTCATTCACCGATTCAACTCCGCGACAAGCGACCATTTGGCAAGCTTTAATCTAAAGCATTAGAAGTTAAAAAGCACAAAGAACAATGCTTTAACTATATTTTACAGCAATAGAATCGTACTGGATATATTTAATTATATCTTACAAACTCTCTGAGCGAATAACTCTACGTACCTTAAACATGGCTCCTGAGAAGAGACAGTGCTACAAAGCTGCCAGCTTTGCTATCCATGAATTTCTAATTTTTGTAAAGCTCTTTAAGTTTTGCTTCTTGAATTCAAATGCTCTAATCGTCGGCAACAGAATAATGCATTCAAGCTGAGGATGGAGTTCAAATTCTTTCAACGTTCTTATATTTAGGATCATTTGAAGCAATTTTGACAAGATCTTTTCTCTAGCAGTGAATCGTTCCGTGACATGACACAAGATGAATCTCCGGCCACATCTCGGCAAAATTTCGTGAGGTACTCGGATACGAACGACCTGAGTAATAAAAACGATTGGATTTGAAAAAATTGTAAATAAAAAATTCGATTTTTATCGATTTTGATTCGATTATTAGACAATGACTTGATAATGAAAAATACCGCTGTAGTTTTAGTGTCGGATCTCAAGGTCCAGGTACCCTGCGAGCTACGGGCGAGAGGAGTACAAAAGGAGACTGCTCGCAGGGTAAAGGTCCAGGCTGCTCCATATTCATTCTCTTCAAGGTAATTGGGATTCCTGGGTTTAAATATATGGCAGAGAGGAAATGGGGACGAGAAGGAGGTACGCAATTTAATCTAGTCTATCCGACTTCTCGCACTTTCTCTACTTTATTATTTTTTTTAGGAAATCTGAAGGTTCGCGGGATCAATTTGGTACTGCTTTAATACCACTTAAAAAACTTCATTATTTGGTTTAAAAAACCGTTTTATTGTATTTTCAGTGAACAAACGATAGATTTTTTAAGTATAACGACCATGATATAAAGTATTAATCGACGATTTTACTTTCAATGTATTAGAAGTTATACTATAGTCACACAGGGATCCCACACATATACAAAATACACAAAATACAGACTTTTTCCTATTCAACGCTTTCACATTCTCCATATTGCTTTGCTTTATTGGGGTGCATGGATGAAAACTGTCAGAAAATTAAAACCTTCTTCTTTTATCCGGTAGAACATTATCAGTTCATTCTGAGTTAATTTTCCACGTTCAGAATATCAAAAAAATTAAGTGTTGCAAAAAAAACGAATTGAGTAATAAAGAAGTGCTCAATTTACTGTACTACTAAGAGAAGGAATCCTACATATATAGCCTTGTAACCATCATGTGCACAGTTTGACGCTATTTTTAGCTTGGAGATATTCTGAGCGAAGAACCTGATTGGTTGATTTCTTGAGGGTAGGCGGCTTCCAGTCTTGCAGTAAACAAAAGCCTGTGTTTTTGTCGTGGACGAAACGAAATATGGCGCTTTTCGTGTTCAAAAATGAGGCATTAAAGGGAAGCATGATTATCGCGCGGGTATGGTAACGAGTTAAAAATAGCATCAAAGTGTACACATGATGGGACACGGGAATTCCTTCTCTTGGTTCATTTTCTCTTGATACTACCCAATTTCAGACCACATTCCAGACCCTTGAAATTTGACTTTTGCTATTCGAACGTTACTGGGACAGGAAATCATGATCACATGCAAGGGCATGACACGTGATATGAAATTAGAAAACGTCGGTGAGATCAATTTTCATTGGTCGAAACAAAAAGAAAAAAAATGTGGAATTCCAGCTGGGCGAATGAAATGCACTATACAAGCCACTGAACCCTTCCCGCCATCTTTTCATAAGTGAAGTACTTTGCGCTGGAAAATTTAGCTAGGAACAACTGGCTGTCAATGTTTTCCTTCACTTGTTTTACATCTCTTATGAATCGATTATGCTGTGTAAAATCAAAATTATCCCTTGAAATAACAAAAGAAAAAGACAAAATTATATTATGTTAAACAGTTAACATTTAAATAAAAAATGCAGTGTTCCATCACCAGCACTATCACCATCATTACCCCCATTATTACCATCACCATCATCAACCCCATCATTACCATCTCCATCATCACCACCATCACCATCACCATCACCACAACCATCACCATCATTATATTATGCTAAATAGTTAACACAAGAGAATATGAACTAAGAGAAGGAATCCCCGTGCCCCATCATGTGCACACTTTGATGCTATTTTTAGAATCTATTCTAAAAATATCTTCCAATGATATCATTTATTTGATCGTTTAATTTTCTGCACACGCATATTACGCGCGCGCTCTACGCTGTTTGCTAACGTTTTGTGCTTTTCTTATGTTCAAATGTTCAAATCTGCCCTCAAGATGACGATGTAGGTCGAAAGCTTTGGAAAATAATGTAAAAATACGCCAGAAATTTGAACAAATGACTACTTCCATTTCCTGTCGTATTTGCCAAGCTTTCGACGTGCACATTCACATCCAGGGCAGAGTTGAAATAACAAAAAACACCCCAAAAACGTAAGCAAACAGCGTAAAGCGCGTGCAAAAAATGCGCATGCAGAAAAACWAATGGTTTAAAAATAGCATCAAACTGTGCACATGATGGTTACAAGGCTTCATAGGGGGAATTCCTCCTCTTAGTTCATTTTCTCTTGGTTAACATTAAAATAAAAAATGCAGTGTTCCATCACCAGCACCATCACCATCATTACCCCCATTATTTCATCATTACCATTACCATCACCATCATCATTACCATCACCATCATCACCCCCATCATTACCATCATCATCACAACCATCACCATCACCATCATCATCATCATCATCACAAGCATCACCATCATCATCATCATCATCATCACAACCATTTTTAAGATCATCATTTCCAGGCATAACCATCATCATCACGACCACCATCATCATCACAACCATCATCATCACAACCATCATCACCATCACAACCATCACCATCACAACCATCATCATCGTCACAACCATCACCATCATCATCATTACCATCATCACCACCATCACCATCACCATCACTATCACCCTCATTAACATCGACACCACCATCAACACCATTATCAACACGAACATCAGCAACATCACCATCATTATTAACATCGACACCACCATCATCATCATCACCCCCATCATCACCAGGACCACCACCATTAAGCCTACTTACCAGAATATGAACACAATTTTATTGACATGTTTTTGGCGTACTTCACTGTAGAAACTAAATTTATACAGAATGTAGCGTGATTCACCAGTAGGAATTGCATTCTTCATTTTTTCGAACTCTACTTTGTCTTCCTCTTTTGTGGTCGTATCGTCCGATTCTCCACTTGTCTCGATCGCAACCTTTTTGTCATCGTCGAAAGTCAAAATGGCCCATTTGTTTCGTGTAGAGGGCATAGCATCGTAGAAATCGTTGACGGATTCATCGACTTCGACTCTTAAGAGTTTTCGCTTTTCTGAGATTTAAATAACGAGATGAAGACTTGATGGATAGATACGTAATTGCTCAATAACACCTTGCAGCCTAAGGGCTGAAATACGTCATAGCTTAAAATAATTAAATGTGTAATATGTATAGACAATGAAAAAAATTGTGAAAAATTTGGAAATAATAAAATGATATAAAGATCCAAAGACAAATTGGTGCAAACGCCACAGAAAATCAGTCTCTTGGATGATCATTCTAAATATCTTCAATAGATTGATTGTGTTCAGGGCAGATCTAGGAGTGTTCGGTGATTCATCTTTAAACACGAATAAGCACCCTAGCTATTAACATCACAATCATTATGTGATGCTCTATAGCATTCGGTCAAGTGTTCCTCAAGGCTTTAACTTAACACATCACTTATTTTATTATCACAATGGCAATGTCTGAAMATACTACATCCACGTATTAGCCATTCTAAGGTTGAGTGAAAAACTGGGTCGAGTTGGCACGAGTTCATTTTGGGACTATTTCAGAGTACACATTCCCAAGATGTCGTATATTATTTCATTTATTAACCAATCAGAATGCTTGTAGTATCTAAAATAATTTAAAAAGATGAAATGACGTCATTACCTTGATAGTCATCTTCCATGGATGACAACATAAGAGCTTCGTCATCCAACAAGAATCTTCCATATGCGAGGCCAAAAACGGCAATCACCAGAATAGCGATGGTCTTCATGATTCTAAAATAATAATAAAAACATTTGTTAGCTCAATGCACGTTAAAGCGTCCATAAGAGCGTCAGTTTGTTGAGTGGGATAGGGGGTTGCGTAGGGAGCTGGTTGATAGGGGGTTGCGTAAATCCACAAAAAAATATCGAGCAAGCACTTAAACCTCAAAAAAAATATCGTGCAACCTTTTCTGCTAGAAGAAAAAAATCTAACTGTACGCAATAAAATAACGTGCAAGGGTTGAGCCAAAAAAATAAATACATGCAACCAAAATTCCTGCAACCCCCCATCAATTATCTAATGGTCAATCCCTAATTACTAGAGCTATTTCGCACAAGAGCATTAGAAATGCAATAAAAATGTACACTTTTAGAACTTAGGGATGCAAATGAGCAAAAACGCACGCACCGCATCTTTATTGTACTGGTTATTCGCTGTTGAGACGAAAACTTAACATTTTACAATGGTAGAATGGCGCTTCCAAAAGCCGTTTTAATTGTATTGGAATGTTGTTAATAATAAACGGTTAATATAAAAGTAATAMAAGTATTTTTTTTWAAATTTCAACATGATAAATGTCTTCTCTTGGGACACACTGTTTAATTATCTTTCTCKTATTTKATTTCATGACGAGAACCGTTGATAACAGTGTCCCTAGAGTCAATGAAGGGATTACTCTGGRGRAAACGTTTCGACAATAATAAGGTCCAAATAGCGTCCCTTGGGGCACTCCACTTGGGTTTCACTAATCCTACGCATTAGTGGCTGAGCTTAACGGATAATCATTTCTATAATGAAATGAAATTATATTTTTCTCCTATTTGATTTTATAATAGTATATTATTTAAACACGATAATTAAATTAGCAGCGGAGCTGATGTGGTCGTGTATCTACAATACTAAACTTGTATAAAACAAATCTTTAGTTGTCGTTCTAAATTTTTTTTTCTAAGTTTTTTTGCGTTCAGCGTTTCCTAGCAATCTTGCATGCGTCTCTGAATCGTGCTTACAAATCAAATACTTCGGAGTGATAAAATTATTATCTGGTCAACGGCCGTTAATACACTTTAAATTGCCCCTTTTTTCGCGGAATTTACTTC